TTTTGTTCTAGTGGAACAGTCAAGTTTCCTCTCTAGCTTTGGTAAGCATAACATGGTCTTCTGCCCACATAAATCTGTGTTGTCAGCAGAGGAGCTCACTGAAAATACAAATATGGAGCACAACATCCACTCAAATTATATGGCTTCCAAACTGTCTAGAAGCAATTATTTCTGGTAAATATCAGATAGGCAATAACCAGTGGCAACGATGTAGTTACATTAAGACAAAGTACAACATAAAGAGGCTGAACAGAATGTATGAGGTGGTATAATTGAGCAGCACGAATAAAGGTGATAGAAATGGAATTTAATAAGTTAAAAGGGCGTGAGTTAGCATGCGTAGGAGTAACTGATTGCCCTTTCCAATATTCAGGAGCGATTTTCATTTTTAATTGGATCATGCTTCTTCATTGCCGAATTGGATGCTTCTTTTTTGCTCTCCTCAAGCACAAAATGTTTAAAGCAAGTTTTAGAATATGCAATAACATAAAATTGAGAGAGAGAAGTAATCATCAGAAAACTTTTAGCACAAAAGTGTTGACTTGATTCTGTCCCTAGAAAGCTTTATAATGCTTTACGCTCCTGCCAAAGGAGATAGGGGGTAACAGTTTCCAAGACACTAAAGTGATTAAGTTTTGGTAGACATGCTGATTTTGCACTTGTCTACTTATGCCCATCAAGGGAATTTTTTTCCTTCTCTCTCCTTTGTTAAACCAATATATTGATCTTAATGACACATATTAAGATATGTGTTCTAATACACGTGTGAAGTTTTTCTTATGAGGAGACTGCTTTGGTACACCAGCAGTAAAGTGATTTCAGCACCTGAAGTAAAGTATGCGTTACAAGACCTGTGCTAGTATGACAGTGACAGAATAGTTGAACGGTGAAATCTATCCTGTATATCTGTGATATAAAGTGCCTATGCCTAATTTTCAAAAGTGCCCCACCACTGTGAAGCCTAAATCATCCATGTGCTTTTGAAAATAATCACCATTAGCTGACACATTAATGCCAGGCTAAACAGACTGAGTGGGGACCACTTTTCCAGAAGCAATATGACTTTAAAAATAGTTGGGGGGGAGGGGGGGGGAGAGAAAAGGTTGCTTAATTAGCTCTTAAGCTATATTTTTTTCACAAAGCAACTGCTAGCATGGGATGAGAGATGTGGGAAGAATCTAATCTACTGCTCTGCCATGCACTCCACATAGTCACAACAAAAACTGTACTTCTCACTCAAAAAAAAAAAAAAAGTTTTCCTGAAAAGAACTCAAACTACTTAAAAAATAAATCAAACCCACACAAAACCCTAAAACCAAAACTGATCAATCCCTATGGCACTGCTTGGAAATGTGTAAATACTTCACACTATTTTCTGAAGTTGTACCCAAATACATTCAATTCAGTGCCTTTGAAGGCTTATCCTATGATGCTATAATTGCTTTTTGTGACATGGGTAAAAAAATGTCTGTCTAATCTTTTAAACAAAATGTCCATCTTCTTCCTTATGACAAAGTGGTCTTGTGAACATCCATATAACCACAGAGCATAAAAGCATCATCTGTTCTCTTAGAGATTATGAAATATTGATGTGCCCACAACAGTCATCCAGATGTAGTCTTCAGGCTTTGTTGAATTCATAACCCCAAACCCTTTTGATTTTAGGAGGCACTGAAATAATCTGGGGCCTCAGACCATTCAAGCCTAACAAAGATTGTCAAAGGTACCTTTGCTTGTCTGCTCACAGGTGAACCAGGTTTGCTTGCAGATGAACCACTTACTGCACTGGACAGTCCCTGATTCCTTGGTTGAAACATTTACCGACAAGAGACAGTCAAGTCCCAGGAGCTAAAAATGCATGGGACTTGGAGAAAAGGGATTCTGAGCTTTCAGACAGTTGTGTTGACCTGGGTGTCCAGCACTGGTAGCCAACATGAGACACAAAGAATTACAAGCCACTTCTAGAAGTGTTAAACCTTGAGCTTTTGCTTCAGCCTCTTGATCTGCAAAATGCAGACACCAGTGATTTACTTCAGAGGGCAATTAATATGTTTTTCCCCTTCAAATCATACTTATGTGGAAACTCTCCATATTCTGGGACACATTTTTAAACGAACAAACCTGAATACAAAAGATGTCCCTCTTAAATTACATTAGTTCCTAAGGACTGAGCCAGAGAGAAAAAAAAAATCTACGCAAACTCCTTGTGACTCAGAAAAAAAGATTCCATGCTACAAGCCAGTCACTCCACTTCAGACAACCTATTTCCCAACACCAATCCTGAAGAATTTAAGATTTGCATGCAAAAATTCACCATGTGTTTCACAAATCTGGTTTATAAGAATTGTTGGGCTTTACAGACTTTTTTTCCAAGCAATGGTAGTTAGAGCTGGACCTCAAGCCAAGCAGCAGATGTTGGAATTTCCATGGAGAAGGCAGCTGCCAATGACCCAGAGGATCCCCTCTTACTAATGAGATGCTGCTCCCATACACTTAGAGAGTCTGCTAAGTGAAAAGAAATTGCAGTGCAGGTTGTTTCTTCACAGGGGAAAAGTGTACTGCGTTTTGGAAGGGGAAGGAAGCAAAAAGTATTTTTTTATGGATGACAAAACACGGCAAGTGTAATATTGGTAACTCACCCCACCGGTATTTAAGATGCCTCAGGGGCAAAACTTGGACAGGACCCAGCGATTTGACTTCTAAACCTCTGCACTAAACTTATGTAAGAGCATAATCCTGTAATGTGCTATTTATGGTTAACTTAGGCAATCTTATCTAAAAGGCCTCAAGAGAAAAGTTACGCTCTAATACATATGGATGCGATAACATCTATTCTAGGCTAATCAACAGGCATTTGTACAATTAAAAAATGTCCAGTGAAGATTAAGGCTGTATTACCTACAGACCTCAGTAGGTTTTTTAAAGTCACACCAGCCCCAAAGAAGCCATTTTCAACTAATATGTCCCTAGTCAGGACCATAAAGACTAATAGAGGATGTCTGTCAGGTCAGGTTGATGGCTCACCTGCTTCACACTGCACTAGCATTTTGTTGTCTAGACCAAATATTTGTTAGCCTGCACTAGGCTCCCTGGCTCTGTTCTGGTACAAATTAAATACTTGTCTTAATAAAAAAACCACAAATGAATTATTAGATAGTCTACACTGGGATCAAGATTGTATATGGATATGAATACGTGTCAGATTTAAGTCCCTCAGCTTCCTCTAGTTCTCCAAGAGCACTAGCCCAGAGACTTGAGCAGGAGTAATGAAACTTCCCTGTGTCTTGGGGAACACACGCTGTTCTCCAAAAAGCAAGAACTACAAGCACAGTTAAGCTCAGCCTATATCAGGACAACTCTCAGAACCTGTCTCAGCATCAGTAGCATCTTGCCCGAAACAATCCTCTTCGTAGATGTTTCAATTTGAGTACCTTTCCCTTACCAGACAGTGGGCGCACAATTAGAAAACACTAAAAGGCTTAAATCAGAGAAGGACTAGGAAAGAACAAAACCTTAATTTACAGCCAGGGATTAGGTGGGTTCCAGTACAGACTGAAGACCACAGGCTTCATGAGACAAATCTGGCCCAAAGCAGAGCTGTGTTCTGCATGGACTGAAGGGAGTGCAGGGTACACTGCCTGAATGAAACAATGCACTGCAGCAATGCTTAACAGAGGTGTCATGAGTGGATGTTAGCTCTGTATGAGAGGGGAAGGTTCTCAGTTGCCTAACAGACATTTGCTTTTCTGTTTTTCTACTCACCCACTGATGCCCAAAGTAACCACAAGCTGAGGACAAGTTGAGGCCTCACAGACAGACTAGAAAGCACAGCTTTTCCTGAGACCAAACAGCAGCGCCGTCAATTGCCTCAGTATTTTCTGCTTTTATCAGTGCTCCAGCCCCTCCCACAGAGACTATCAGCTTTCATTAAAAAAGTTTCTACCCTTTATGGCTGTGGGGAAAAGCCTGCAAACCGCGATTCTAATATAACCTAGTGGGTCAGAAAATGAGCCAAAGAACAAGAACCTCGCACTTCTGCTCCTAGCAAATAAATCATGACTTTTAAGCTGATCTCACAGTTTATGGTAACTTGACTCAAGTTTTTTGAATGACTAAGGTTAGAAGTACTTTAACTTATCAAACTAGCGAGTTCCTCAAACAAAAATAAACAAAGTGCTCTCTCACAGCTATTCTGAAGATTAACTCCTTTGCTACTAACCACATCTCGCTTTACTATAGAAAGGAAACAATGACAGTTTTGAACTAACCCTTTGTCCAGAAGGCAAACAGGTCTCACCTATACCAAACTCTCAAGCCAAAGGATATAATCATCCCACATTGACATGTCCATATTCCACCTCCACAATGGAATTACCAGAATTACTTACGCATACCTTTGTCGTAATTGGATGATGTAATTTGTTGAGAATGGATGATAGACTACCAAAGGCTACTTGAGGACTTCCTCAGAGGCATAACAAATAATTTAAGCAAATAAGACTAACAGAAAACATGACTGTGTCACTGCCCTAAGTCCTGTTGCTTCCAAACTGTTCCCAGTGCTCTTGATTTGAACACCACATGCAAAGAAGAAAATGCAGTTTCAATGAAAATGTTCTTCTCCCTCCAAAATCAACACACATGACCATACAGCACTTCTATCAAGGTCAAGAATTTATAATACCAACAGTGCACTATGACTTCACAATTATTTAAAGGATCTTTTGCTGGAAATCACACAAAATCTTGGATCTTCTTTCATTGTTTACAGAGACTGCACAATCAGACTGACATACCATGAGACTTCCATTCCCCTTCAGCTCTGGTTTGGTCATCCTTTGATTAATATCACGTTTATCATGAATGCATTGATTTAGAAAAAAGGCTTCCCACACACCCCAAAAATAATCCGCATCACTCACAGTCTCCAAAATTGTCACACAAATGACTCCTGCCCCATACCCCACCACAGACAAAAGAAAAACAATGTTGTTACTTACTAGGAACTCCAGACACCAGCCGTAATGGACGTAATACTCGGAAAGCCCGCAGTGCTTTAACATCGAATCCGGCACCTTTTCCTCCTATTGAATTCCCCCCATCTGCTTTGGTTGCTTGTTCTAAAATTGCACTAAAAAGCCTGCAAAAAGAAAGAGGAAACAATCTGTAGGCAGACAGCAAGGCTTGGGCTAAACAGGAACAGAGATCATCATCATCATATCATCCAAACTATCTCACAGACCTGCGAAGAGTGTCACACATCTCAGTCGACATTCACATATGGTAGAGGAGAGACAGACTCTTCCCATATGCAACAGCCTATTGGTGATGTCTATACCATTTCCAAAACACTTGCTTCTGGAGCAGACATAAACATGACATGCTCCTCCTTCAGCCTAATGGCTCCTTGCAGCCGGCTATAGGCTACCAATACTTTGCTATCTTTGTTAACAAACAATCAACCCTGGGGAAAAAGAATCATCACCCATAATCAATCCAATCATTAATTATCTGTCACCAATTTTACAAGGAATTAAGATTCACCAAGGTCACTGCAGGTAGAACTTGGCGTGAAACTCAGGGATCCTTCATGGTGCAAATTTTTAGGTAGGGGAGTGTCTTCACCTTGTGTGCTTGAGTATCCATTTGTAAATCCCCTGATGTATTGGCTAGGCAAAGTGCAAAACTGTAGGAGTGTTATTATTGGAATGTTTGATTATGCTAGTAAGCAAGGCAGAAAAGACAATGTTGTTCTGTGAAAAAGCTGAAGGCTCAATCTATCTGTTAATAAGAACTTGATTTAAGAAATTAGCTTTCAGGAAGCAGCTTCCATTTTTCTGGTAAAACATTAGTTCCTTTGGGGGAGGACAAATTCCTCATGAATTTGCTAATGATATTGCTTTCAGCCTTGAAACCACCAGCTTGGACCCAGCCAAATTCAGCAGAGGTTAAAAGCTGTTCCAGTATAAATGGATGTTTGGCACTCTGCAGAAAATGCTTGCCTGGGAGCGGCAGAGCCCCCTTGGCCCATAAATTGCCATGGAGGTTCCACAGACAACTCTACCAAAATCGCCTGGGATGCCAGAAACAGCCTATTTCGAGTGGCCTGGATTCACCACTGGCTCGTTTCTCCTCAGACTTCAGCCTGCAGTGCCTCTGTCAGGATCTCATCAATAGGTCCCAAGTGGCATATTCCACAGAGAGCTCCCAAACCTCATCAAGCAGAGACTGAGCTGGACAATTGCTTAACAAGGAGCTCCAACACCTGCAGCCTGTGTTAAATCTTACAGATAGGGCCACAAACATAAGGAGCTTGCCCTGGATAGGAAAAGGAGGATTCATTTACTGAAGCATCTAAGTCAACATTTCCCCAGCTCTAAATCCAACAAAAAACAAGTGGATTAGAGGAGTGCAAGTGCAAAATTCGCTTCTTTAAGCAGGGCTTGCTTTTTTTTTTTTTTTTTTTTAATTAAATTTCATCTTAAGAGTCTTATAAAACTTGTCAACGGTGACTGAGGAACTCCTAACTGGATCTATTCAAAGCCTCAACTTCAAGCACCGCAGAAAGATTTATCAACTAGGTAACAAGCGTGGGAAAAACTGTGTGTGGGGAGGTTGGATGCTGAGTTTGTAGGTGTTGCAGACTGAGAAGCAGGATGCAGAGAAGACAAAAACAGAGCCTATGAGAAATACTGCATTGACTACAGATATCACAGAGAGAGATAAACAAGGGCTGATGCAAAGAACATGTATTATTGGAATGTATGCATTTCTTGAGCTGTGTACACAAATTATACAGCTGCAATTTTCTACTGGTCTCCATAATAGAAACACTGTAGGTCAAATTTGGCCTAATGTATTTTCAGTAAGCTAGTGATTAAGCTCTAGCAATGTGCTCCGTTTCATATTCAAACCTTTCTATCTTCCTAGTCAACAGAATTCCCATATTAGATGATGAGTGACATATCTATACAACAGCCCCAGTCTCCTGGGATCCTCTGGAGGAAAAAGAATTTACTGCAAAAAGGCTTCTAATGCTGTTTTTCAGCTCCAAGACCAGAAATCTCAAGGAACTCTGAGTCAGGAATTGTGCAAAACTGAGGTCCCATTCTCCTGGCCCCCATTTTTACTGGTTCCCTGTTTCACCAAAGAACAGCTCTTGGCATCGGGCACCAAGGCTGTTTCTACTGCCACCCATGCAGTGAGCAAACCACAGACTGCTCCAGAATTCTGCACCCTGAGCAAGCTGTACATGTCCTAAATTAGTTCAGGAAGAGCGGAAACACAACCAGTAGGACAGCTCACTCCTCTAGAGCTAGAACCTGCCTTCCCAAAGTGCAGAGTTCCCTATCTGTTTTGATGTGCTAAACATGCCGTTTTAAGATACCCACAGTCATCTGCCTACTATGCTTCAGGAATAACTTTCAGTAATTCCTGCTGCTCCTCATTAAAAACCCTGCATTTAAACTTGAATTTCTAATCCTGCTTAAACGCGTTTACTCCATACTTAATATCTCCCCTGCTTTTTACCAGTGCACTGCAACTTTTTATTTCTCTCATTTATTTCACTCTCTTTGGCTTTTGTACTGGGGTCGAGACTGTGTTCAGTGTGGCCTGCTGGATGTCTACTCCACTCTTCAAGTTCATAATACATTTTGCCAACCCTGCTTCATTGTCCTCGCCACCTCCTTCACTCGAGGCACTGGCAGACATCTACGATTCAGAGGTTACAACTACCTAATGCTCTTAGTTTTTCAGCTAACTATTTTCTAACACTAAAACAGCTGGATGGATGTTAGGCTACTGATACAAATTAGGAGGCCAGAGCCTTTCTATCCTATATTTACATGGGAAATTCTGCTCTTTGATGGAAACCTTTGGGAAAAGCTTCCAGTAGGTGTGTGGAGCAAGGTGCACTTCTTTCCTTCTCTTCTCAGGAGGTTAGATAGCTGAAACGCATGCTCCAAGCACAAGTGTGGGGAAACGCTTTGCTGGCAGAAAAATCAAAGTTTGGATGGCACAAAAATGCAAGAGGGCTTATCTCTTGTGGCCACTGAAAATCTCACCATGAAAAGTAAATAATAGTAATAATAATATTAATAATAAAAAGAATAAAGAAATCAGCCTTATTTCCTTCCACCTAACTACTTTCTGCCAGCCTAAATTCATGCCCCATTTTCATTTGGTTATGGTACTTTCTACTGATGAAGCACAATTAACAGCATCTTGATTTCTGAATTTCATTTGTGTCATGACTGCACCTTAACTAAATTCATCTGACAGATGTGAACTGTAACACAGAAGAACAAATTTCTATCAACACTTTTTTTTTTTTTGCATTTACTTGTGAAGTATGAAATCAGCTTCACTGTTTTTCTTTCTTATATTTTGCTGTTTCTATTTTGACATTTGAAATACCAAAAAGGTTTTCACTTTGCTAGATGACCCCAACAGCAGCATGATACGGCTGTAACCTGCTCTTCATCTCTTCCTCTGTGGGGAGTACCCCAGGAGTTTTACAGCATTGAAAAAAAGAAAAGAGCTTGTCAAGGGCCTCCAGAATATAAAACAAAAACAGAGGGCTTGGTATTTTTAAGGCCAAAAATCAGTGGAAAAACAAAACTGAAAGAATCCTCTCAGGTGCAAAAAATCAGTAAAATAGAAAGAATTTTTTTTTCACAGTGTTTTACAGTTCACCTGTGATTTGTGAGTGTGAAAGGGTTTGGATCTGCCTTTTAGAAACTCCACACAGGTCTTCAGAAAGACCATTTTCCAGCCTGCTCTGATTTCAGATCCTCCCCAAGTACACCTTCACTGCTTACCTTCCCAAGTAAGATTGTCTTTCAAATTACACCACCTCTTTTTCTGGCAGAAGCTACAGGTCCTTGGAGAATGACTGTGCCTGGCAGACAAACCACAGCACTGCCAGGAAAGACAGATATTTTTCTATCACAGCATTGTCAAGTTGGTCTTCCCTCAAGAGAAATTTCCTCCAACTGCCTAATATTAAAGGACATCACTGTGCAATCTGAAAGTTAATGTTTTCCAAAGGAGGAACAGCAAAAATGAAGGAAGCAGGAGACAATTTGACTAACCATTAATGTTTGTGGGGGTCGTGCCTCATTAGGCAGCTTAGGGGGGTGGTCTCTACTCTTAGCTAATAATGTCAGTAGAGCCTCTGATTGATATCCTCACACAGACGTTTTTCTTCAAAGCAGCATTTAACAGTCTACAGGTCTAAAGTGCATCCTTTCACCAGAAAATGTAGCAGTTGTGTTCAGTGCTCCCCTCTGCTGCTGTTGCATTTTCCTGTGGCCTTGTAAGAACCACTGACTCTACAATCCCTCTGGATACCAGAGGACCTATCTTCAGAAGGCAGGGGACAGTATACAGGCACACTGTTATAAACTTTTTTACAGGAACTGTGACTCCCCCCTAAAATTTTACCTGGTCCTGCACATGCCCATTTTCCTCTTATTTTACTGATTTGTTTAAGGTAAAGGAAACTTGTTGTGTAATATTATCTTTTTAAGTTACGTGTGGTAAACAGTGCATAGGTGGATTTATAAGATCTAAAACCTGCTAATTTTTTTTTGCTCCTTTAACTTCCAACAGTACTTGAAGAAGTACTTCCCACCTAGCCTTTCTATGTTTTGTAGCAGGGACAGTCATTCCTGAAAAACGAGATGATTCCTAAGGCAGAGCAAGCACAAATGGCAATTACTACAGTTCTGAGACTTGATGCTTCCAGTATTAGTCCCACACCATTCTTTGCCCCACATACCAAATAAATCCCTCTGCCCAGTGCTGCAGCTGTGTACAAATCACTCAGCTTTCTCCAATAGCTCCATCAATAGGCAGGAAAAAAGCACCACAAAGAAATACTGTTATCAGTACTTGCTCTCTTCCTCCTCTCTCGTTAAAATTTATTTTAAACATTTTCCGTGGGGCTTCCTCCCTGGCAAAATATTCAAATAGGCTGAAGTTTAAACATCATGTCATTGAGGGATTTCAGACAGCCCCTAGGAAAAGAAGAGAGGGCAGAGCAGGAACAGATGGTATCACCACGTAGATTTTGCAGAGGGGTTGTGGAGAGGAAAAGCAGCGCACCAGCCTAGGCTGTGGTACTGTACGAGTGAGTTTAAACAGATAAACATCAAAGGAACCCATCTGGCCTTGAAGTGGAATCTGTCACTTGAGATTCTTACAATTTAACAGAGACCTTGGGGTCTTGGCCATGTTTATTATACTCATGTAATACCTCCCCAGTTACATTTTTTTGTTCCCCATCTAGTGGGGAACTGAGAGCTGCTGGAGGCAAAAGCAGATAGAAGAGCTGAGAGCTGCAGCTTCTGTCACTGGCAACAGAATTAATTTCAGCCTGAATATAGTCTTGCTGATTAACTGCCCTAGTAGGAAAATTGAAAAGGACTGTACTTAAACTAGATATAATGCTGCTCTGTGATTTCTGGAGCCCTGCTCTCTCACATTCCAGTGGAAGAAGAGGAGGTAATGTGTCCTCTCTTTAAAATGTCTCTTTCTCATAAAAATGAAAATGAAATAATCACATTCACGGGACTCTTTTTTTTTTCTCCAATCTTTCTTCAACTTAAGTAGCAATTTCCAAGCAGGTGGGATATCTGAGGGCATTCAAAGGCAGAACCAACTATGGAACTGGACATCAATACCAGGGGAGGGGTTGAGGATTTTCTGGTTTTCAATTACTAATGTGTTATCAGATCCTCTGTCTGCAAGCAGGAACAAAGGAGAAAGACAATGGACATTGCCATAAGGAGAACCATTATGTCCACATGGAGGCAGAGAGGTCTTAAGACTAAGAATAGGTTTCAGCCTGTTCTCCCTCCCCTTCACTGGGAATTCTCCTTCCACCCACTTTTCCCCGTGATGATAGAAAGTGGGAGGGATTGGGTAGCACACAGCAGTTTGCTGATGAAATATTTTTGGGCCACCACAAAAATGGTCAGGAAGGTAGATGATTTGAGGAAGAAATTATGAGGGGGTTTTGATGACTAGGAGTGTCCCTCTTTTGACATTTCCCTAGGAGTTGATGCAGAGTTTCCTTGGTAAGGAGGTGAAAAGACTACAAGGCTTTGTGGGCGATGAAACTCTTTAACAATGGAGTGGTGGGAGGATGGGACAAATTACTCAGGCAAAGAAATACTTGTTCTCTTTGTCTTCATCCGTAGTTTATCCTTCACCTCTTCCCTCCAACAACCACAATTCAAATCCCCTGCTTATCTCTTACCCTTAGGTAGAGAAAGCAGAAGGTGTGTTACCTTGCTTTTATTCAAATAAATTAAATGCCAGGCTTGAAAAACACGGAGAGGAATAACAGGATTAGAAAGGTTGAAGCTCAAAGTAGCAATTTGATCTACAACAGTAAAATTATTCTTTAAAAAGGTTAAAACATTAAAAGGGTCAAAATTAAAAGTGCTGAAATCACCAGCTGAACAGGGCAATTGAGCTGAGGAACTTAGTTTAGTTTGTAGAAAAAACTGGGGTTTAAATTTTTCATCCATTTTTCAAAATGAGAAACACTAGTAAAAGTTCACAAGATGGCAGAATTTATCTGTCACCCATCTCCAAATCTTAATTAAAGGATTACCTAGATATTATTTTAAATATTCACACAGATTTAAAATCAAAGGGATTTTCTTGCACTTAAGCATATTCAGGTGTTTGACTTTGTCCAACAGCTTGCACTGCTTCCTCTTTTTTATCCCTGTTCCCAAAGAGCAGTTTAATTTCTATGTCATTTAAATGGTGGTTGTAGAAGGAATATGATGGACAACAACCTCTAACATCACTCATACATAATGTACCAAGATTCCCCCACCCTTAAGCTCCCAAAGTTTGTCAGCATCCCCACGTGTACAGTGTCTTCAAAAACAAACTGTTGGTACTCACCCTACTACCACAATTATAAAATCTAGTAAATTCCAGCCATTGCGGAGGTAAGCGTTGGGGTGAAAGAGAAGTCCGTATGCTATTACTTTTAAAAATGCTTCCACTGTAAAAATTATGAGAAAGAGATATTCCACTCGTTCCTGGGGAAGATAAGAGAACAAGAGAGGTAATGGTTAGTGTGAGTGACAAACCACGGATAAGGATGTTTTCTTTTGTTGTAGCCCACCCAACTAATTGACTCGCCACTGGGGTGCACCTATCACACATGGCTGGATTGCCAGAGAGCTTTTCTCCTCACTCTTGCATGGTCTGCAGTCAGTCTGACAGGACAGGGGCAGTAAATTTTGGTTAGACTCTGAAACTCGCTGCCCTTGCCTTGGCAGGGACTGACCCCTGCACAGGCCTGTGCAAAGCAGGAGGGCAGAGTCCAAGTACTCAGCATACACAGCCAAATATTGCCAGCCAGCAGAATGAACTGCATCTAGTCCTTTGCTACCTCTGGAGAGGAAACATTCCTGGATGCAATACTGGGGAGAGAGATGGGGGAAAAATAAGAGGAGCCCACCTGAGACTAATGCATGTGTCAGACTGCGCCTTCTTTGGGATTCCCTTTTCTGTTGCTGGGGAATAAGTAGGCTGAATACTGGTGGTAAGTGATTTACAGATCAGGCTGACTAATACTAGAGGCGTTTAGTCATACTGTTAGAAATGTACATGTCCCTGTGAAAGGCAGGCTGCAATTAAGCATATCCAAACAAAGTCACTTCCAGTTGCAGTACAGCCTGATTCAGGACAAGCAGTCAGGCATCTGGAGCAGTACAGAGGCTCACCATCTCTCATCCCTGGGGCTTTTATCCCCGATGTGGAATAAGGGTAGCAGTGTTGCAGAAATGGAAGGGACCTCCACACAAGTGGGAGGGAAACTGCAGCATTAGGTAATCACTACAGAAGTGCTGCGTGGCAAGCTGCGTGGGAGATAAGTACATGAAAACCAGATAACAGCAAAAGGAGACTAGGTCCCTGCGAGGTTAAACGACAAAGTTATTAAAAGTTCACACTGAAGAAACAAAATCTGAGATAAATGCAAATTAAAACATCACAGGAATTCCTGTCATTTCTTGAAAAATACCCAGCAAGACAATCAGACAAGTCACTATTTTTTTCAGCTCCAAATTTTATCTACCTTGTTCCCCTGTCCAGCTGAACATGTGTATGACACTTTAGTATCATACCACAATAAAAAATGTGCAGCATTACAAAAAAAATCATTCCACCTTTTGACAGTTGACCATTTGAATATTTTGCATTCAGCTGCAGATAATTAACAACTCACTAGAAAGCTGAAGATCAAAAAAAGCAATTGCCAGTTCATCTGTATGTTTACAATAATGTGATTATTTTACATGACTGAGAAATTCCATCTTACAGTAGCAGGCTTATGTTTGTGCTTTACAATATTGCTGGTTTCCCTCAGATAATGTTTTCACAATGCCTGCAGTATCCCCCAGTGCTTAGTACAAGGAACACCCAAAAAAAGAAAAAGTATCATTCTGCAGTTATCTGATCTAGTAGTAAAGCTTCTGAATATGCCCACAGCACAGAATTTGTCCATTGTTGTCCCAGATGGAGACACAGCTGTACACTAAGGATTTCCCTTCTCTTGAACTCAGAGATGGAAACAACAGCATACAATACTAGCATCAACTATGTTCCCTCTACAAATAGTGAAGGCACTATTTTATTTAGCCCAGGAATAGGCACATAAGTGCTAAAACCCAGGAATTTCACCATGGGCTTGACCTCAGGAAAAAGTTCCCTAATAGCTTGCACGCTCCTAGAAAGGACTAACAGGGCAGCCCTTCACCTTCCATCCCCGCTAACAACTGAGCAATTTCCTCCTGATACACACACCATAACCAAACAGACCCCAGCAGTCCATCTCTATGCACATGTTTGTAAAGAAGGACTTGCTGTCATGAAATCTCTTAAACCCCAGAAGTAATATAAAATAACTGCGTGAGGGGAAGTCTGTGTGGTGTTTCTGACTGCCCTGCACCTTTGTGCTACCTCTATGGACACAGCTCAAGGCCTAACATGACCCCACAGCTCACGGTAGCTCTGCCTGAGAGGTGATTCCTTACCCCTGACAGGACCAAGTAAAACCTGTGTAGAGGTTGGAAAAAGATGGAAATGGGTTCTGAGGGGGAAGAACCTATCCTGAACTCAGTATGAGAGTATGGTATGAAGTGCTTTGCCCGGGATGGACATGGCCTCACTAGGGACTAATGAACAGTTTTTAGGATTTCTCTTAAGGCAACCCAACCCACTAATTAGTCTCACTCGCTCCCTGTTTCAGCTGAGGGCTTTCCAAAGTTGTGGGGGCAAGCTCTCTTTCCCTCTCACAAGAAGGGCAAACCCACTCTGCCTTTGAGGTGGCCCTTGAGGTGCACTCAAGTTCATCCGGGATCCCACTGTGCAAACAGAAACACAGGCTCATGCAGGAGTGCCGTAGGCCCTAAAAAACAGCCTTCCCCTGAAAGCTCTCAGTGGCCACAGCTGAGACAAGTAGAGGGGGATGTCGAGGAGCCCACCCTCCCATTTAACAGCTCCAGGTCCAGTTTGAAGCCGGTGGGCAGAACAGTTGAAGAGGAAGGCCCGAAGCTGATCCTGTGCCCAGCAATTTAACAGCAAACACTGTCCTTGCCCTCTGGGCACCCAGGGACAAAAGCTGCTGCCAGCTCTGTCTGGCTTTGTGCTGCTCCCATGGCCACAGCCCTGTGCAGGCCTGCCTGGCCAGGAGAGCCTTTCCACTCCATGAATTTCATTGAAATACCTGTAACTAGTGCAATCAAAAGAGCCATGAAAGCAAATACTTGAGAAAATTCTGGAACAACTTTTTTTTTTTCTTTTTAATTACTACTTTTTAAATATTTAATACTGCACAGAGCAGACAGTATTTCAACAACTCACAGGTTCCACTTGGCTGGGTTTGGGAGCCTTATACCTTTTTGTCTCTAAAGATGCCTATGGGACTACTGGCACCTCTTTTGTTATTGTAATTATGCTGCTTGTTGAACCATGTTATTGAGGTACTAATATACCAAAATATTACACACACATGCATATATACACATCTATACATAGATACATAAATATATACATATATAACTACAAGCTATTTGAATAAATTGCTTACAATGCTTCGGTTAAGGTGGAAAGATCCATAAAAAATAAAATTCTATAAATGCCTCTGAAATGAACATAAGATACAGAATGTTGAGCAGAGGAGAGATTTTATGATCTTTTGCACTTAAATTAATGATTTCAGAGTCTAAAACTGAAGGAAAAATACTGCTGAGATTAAACAGTGCAGCTGCTCCAAGATCATTTCAGAAAGCTACTCCTGCTCAGACTCAAGAAGAATTTGAAAAGCCTACTAATTAATTTGTGTTCCCTTTTGTCCTCATGCTATAAAACTGAAGAGCCTTTATGAACAGAGCATAACTCGGTAACAACATGGCATAATTGCGTTCCCTGGAATGTGGGTTTCAGTCCCAGTTCTGATGCCACCTTGCCCAGTGAGCCCACAGATATGACTCAGCCATCCCCTGCCTCAGCTTGGAAATGGCAAGACCACCCCTTGCCCTCAGCAGGCACAGAATAATAAATTTGCCTCTGCCAAATGAGCATCTGCACTTCGGGCTGCTCATCTGAAGCTTTGCTTTTACAGGTTAGGTAGACCAGGACTCAGTGTTTCCATCGCCCAAGGGACGTACCACTGCAAAGCATCCATAATTCCAACTCTTCCAAGAAGCCAATTTGGTACAATTTTGAAAAAAACCAAACTAGAGAAGTATTGATGTTTCTGTCTGAGAGAGTTCCCTACTGACAGGCAGGGAGGGAGCTGCCCACTACCATTATGAGAGGAGATGGCAACTGCATTGCCCCTTGAAACACAAATCCAAACCACAGCATCGAAAGAGAGGGAACTTACTTTGGAGTTGTAGGAAAGAGGGAACAGTATATTTTTATTCGGGCCTTAGAAATGGGAACCACGCTCACGTGGCCGAGGCACGTGAAGCATACTGCAGGTTGTAGAATTAAAAAGCAGGAGCTTCCTGCTTGGGCAATAGTAATGCAAATGTTTTGAAAACCAAAGGAGAAAAAAAACACACAAACAAAATACGAGTGGAAGAAGAAGAGGAAGTATAAAAGTTTTAGAAAACCAGCCAGTCCCTGGAGCACACGTGTTCTGAGACTGGCTCTACCCCTGTTTATTTGAGTTTCGTTTGGTTTTTTTTTTTGTAGATATAGGAAATAAGCATCAGCTACCCTAGTTGATAGATTAGCCAGCACTAACACTGCCAAGAAACAAGCTGTACATCATCTTACTTTTAGCAAAGAAACAAACTGTTAAGGCTCTAAGATACATTTCCAAGAGAGGATTACTGCATTAAGTACGAAACCCCTCTAATCCCATGTGCCTTCCGAAGAAGTCATAGGTTTGTTTTTGTTTATAATTTTTAAACTGTAGCTAATGTCATCCCGGGTTCCTAAAAGGAGTCTGAAAACAGGAAATCCAAGGAAATTACTGTAGGGTGCCATAAGGCTTTTCTCCTGTCAGAGAGTGAGTAGGCCAGTGCTGTTTCTGAGAAATGGTCGTCAGAGTGATTCACTGTATCTTGATCCCAGCTCTCCAAACTCCATCCACCCAGTAGCACTGATAGGTCATAACATTTTCTTTGCAATAGTTACTCAAGAATCAAATCCCAGTCAGGTTCTTGCATCTCATACACACCAGTCTAAAGAGTTTACAATCCAAAATTCAGTCACTAGAGGTTTTCTTAGATTTCACTGTCTCTCTCTGTACTTGCATTCTGCTCAGCTTATTACAAACCATGTTTCAAAAACTGCAGCTTATATGTTTGAAATAATGAGCCCCAAGCCCTGAACAAGTAGAACCTTTATGAAGCTGCTTGTTTGACCTTAGACATCAGAGTCTGCATTATCATTCCCTAGTGCTTCCTTAAACACAAGAAAATACATTTCTTCAGTAATGCAAATACTCAGATGTCCAAGTAAAACAGCAGTATTTTAAGGGCCTCTGTCATATAGGATGCTTTGGCATGACTTACATAAA